AAAAAAAGGCAAATCCTGTTGCACAACAACCTGAAGAGGAGTAGTTGTTTGTTGCATCATGTTTTTCAACAGGCAACAATTCAAATGCTTCCTAGTTGATTGATAGTGGCTGCATAAACCACATGACAAACAATTAGGATTTGTTCAAGGAACTTGACAGGATTTCTAAAGTTAAAATTAGAAATAGTGATTATATTGATGTCAAAGGCAAATGAATTATTGTCTTAAACAGTCTGTCAGGTTTGAAGTATATTTCAGATGTTTTATATGTGCTTGACATTTATCAAAACTTGCTTAGTGTTGGACAACTTATGGAAAAAGGTTTCAAAGTAATGTTTGAAGATTAATGGTGTTTGATAAAAAAATAACTTGAGCAACAATATGTTCAAGGTAAAAATGAAATTAAAAGGTTTTACTTTAAACCTTATGAAGAAAGAGTAGAGTATGTTTTCTACAAAAACATGCAGTGATGAATTGTGGCATAAAAAGTTGGACATTTCCATCATGTATGGCTTATATATATGCAAAAAAATACTCTTGTAAGAGGAGTGCCACAACTGAAGAACAAATCAGCAATCTATGCAGCATATCTATATAGAAAGCAGGTCAGAAAACCTTTCCCGCATGCAACCTGAAGAGCAATACGAAAACTTTAGCTGGTACATACAAATGTTAAAGGTCCTCTGAGTACAGCTTTACTGAATGACAACAGATATTATATCATTTTTATTGATGATTATTCCAGGTTCTATTGGATTTTCTTTCTTAAATTCAAATCAAAAGTTGCTAGTATGTTCTGGAAGTATAAAACATGGGTGTAAAACCAAAGTGGGTGCAGGATTCAAACATCAAGATAAGACAATGCAAAGGAGTATACATGTAGGAGATTTCAACAATTTTATGATGAATCCGGAATTGAACATCAGCTTACTGTAGTATACATGTAGGAGATTTCAACAATTTTGTGATGAATTCGGAATTGAACATCAGCTTACTGCACCTTACACATCTCAACAGAATGGTGTGAGTGAAAGAAAAAACAGGAGTATTGTGGAAATGACTAGATGTATGCTGCATGAAAAAGAGTTGTTAAAGAAATTATGGGCTGAAGCTGCAAATACCTCAATGTATCTGTTGAATAGAATGCCAACCAGAGCTTTGTAGAAAAAAAACTCCCCTTTTAAAGCTTGGTTTGGATACAAACTAGACCTGCAACATTTGAAAATTTTTTTATTGTATTTGTTCCACTCATGTACCACAGGTGAAAAGAGATAAGCTGGATAAGAAGTCAAAATCAGGAGTATTCATTAGATACAATAGTCCATTAAAATCTTATAGAATCTTCCAACCTCAAAATGAAAGAATTCTGGTAAGTAGAAACCACAGGTGAAAAGAGATAAGCTGGATAAAAAGTCAAAACCAGGAGTATTCATTGGATACAATAGTCCATTAAAAGCTTATAGAATCTTCCAACCTCAAAATGGAAGAATTCTGGTAAGTAGAGACGTCAGCTTTATAGAAGATAAACAATGAAAGTGGGAGCAATCAGAAAAAAAGCTGGAATCATCAACAGAAAAGCAAGAATCTCCAACCTTGGAGATTATTAATGACAACATTGATGATGAACCAATAAGAGATACAAGATCATTAGCTTGAATTTATAAAAGTAGCAATATTACTATCTGTGAACCTGCAGAATTTGAAGAACCAATAAAGAAGAGTGAATGATTGAAAAGAATGATACATGGGTGCTGATGGACAAGCCTTTACACAAGAAGGCCATAGGAGTCAAATGGGTCTATAAAACCAAACAAAATGCAGATGATTCTATAAACAAATACAAAGCTAGATTAGTTGTGAAGGGTTATGCTCAAGTGTTTGGTGTGGATTTTTCAGAAACGTTTGCACCAGTAGCATGCTTGGACACAATCAGATTACTACTTGTAGTTGCTGCACATAAGAATTGAAAAGTTTATTAATTGGATGTAAAGTCTGCGTTTTTAAATGGATACCTGCAGGAGGAGATTTACATAGAACAACCAAGAGGCTTTGAAGTCAAGGGACAAGAGGAGAAGGTATACCTATTGAAGAAGGCTTTGTATGGCCTCAAACAAGCTCCTAGAGCATGGTACAACAGAATTGATGATCATCTACATAAACTTGGCTTTCTTAAAAGTTTAAGTAAGGCCACGTTGTATGTAAAAGGAGCTGATGCAAACTTAATTATTGTATTTGTTTATGTTGATCACTTACTTGTAACATGAAGTAATAAGACACAAATTGAAGAATTCAAGGCAGAAATGCTTGATGTGTTTCAGATGACAGATCTCGGATTGATATCTTACTTCCTTGGAATGGAGGTTAAACAAAGTGATGATGGAATCTTTATATGTCAACAGAAATATGCTAAAGAAATATTGAAGAAATTTCATATGGGAAGTTGCAAGAGCACAAGCACACCAATGAATCTAAAGGAAAAATTTAGCAAGAATGATGGAACAAACAAAGCAGATGAAGGTCAGTACAGAAGTTTAATTGGATGTTTAATGTATCTTACACTTAAAAGATCAGATATTGCATTTGCTGTGAGCTTGCTGTCACATTTTATGCATTGTGCAAGTGAATTCCATCTTCAAATTGCAAAAAGGATAGTAAGATATGTCAAAGGTACAATAAGCTATGGAATAAAATTCTCTCATCTTCAGAATTTTATGCTACATAGGTACTCTGATAATACTTGAGCAGGATCTGTAGACGACATAAAGAGCACCTCATACTACTATTTTAGTTTTGGATGAGGCATATTCTCTTGGTGTTCAAGGAAACAAGATAATGTAACTCAAAGCCCAACTGAAGCTGAATATGCAGCAGCTATTGCTGCTGTCAATCAAGCTATTTAGATAAGAAAAATTCTTGGTAATCTGCATATGAATCAACTGGAACCAACAACGATTTATGTTGACAATCAAGTTGCAATTTCTGTTGCAAATAATCCTGTGTTTCATAGCAAAACTAAGCATTTTAAAATCAAGTTATATTTTCTAAAAGAAGTGCAGAAAGAAGAAGAAGTTACTCTGCTATATTGCAAAACTAATGATTAGATTGCAGATGTTCTAACAAAAACTCTTTCAAAAACAAGTTTTGAAGATTTATGAAGAAAGCTTGATATCTGCTGCTATTAAAATAGATAAGTGTTGATATAAGTGTCTTAGAAAGCTGTAGAAGATCAGGAAGTTGTGTTGTTGCTCTTGCATGGATTTCGTCAATGAAGATCTTTGCTGAAGATCAAGATTTTAGGAATAAATCATTGATCATATTTGATCTATTGTTTTGCAATGTTTTTTAATTTTGAATTGTTTTTATTTTCAAGTAAAACTCTAACTCTATTTAAAGAAAGAGTGTTCTAAGATCAATAATAATATACTTCTACAAATTCGTCTCTATGTCTGTTATTCATATAACTGTGTTCTGCAATTAAAGAATTATAACCAACAGATGAATATTTAAGTTGGGCGACTGATGTTTTGATAGTTAAGTCACCTGCAATTAAAGAATTATAACCAACAGATGTATATTTAAGTTGGGCGACTGAGGTAACCGCGTCTTGATTATGTACGTATCGTGGTTTGCAATCCATGCATGTTGAAGACGCATGGATTATGACTTGTACTGGCAGACAAACTCTTCGATGTTTCTGAAATTGAAGTCGTCTTGAACATGTTTGCAGTACACGAAAGTTTTCATGGTGAATTTCACATCTCCATTCATGTGTGTAATGCAAGCACAATTGAGATGGATTTTGTCAAGATTGATTCTGAATAACTGCTTTGATAAACTAACTTCAGTTTTTTTTCTTAACAAAGAAGAAGAAAACTAGGTTCTAAATAATTGCGTGGTTATTTGTTAGCTAGTGTCGGGCAACGTTGAATTCTATTTTACAGATGGTATGGGTCTCCTTTTGGAACCAATCTATGGAGGTGATTCTTCCAGTGTTCTGAAGTCTTCAAACACCAATAATCTCCCCTCAAAGTCAAGTACATGAAATTCTCTGTTAGTGGCGAGCTACCTGCTGGCCGTCTCTGCATTTAGTCAGACAACGTTCATATAAATCTCGCTCACCCAATAGAAATCTTGTTCTGTGACCTTAGTTCTATCAGTAATGATAGCAGAAGGAGATTTCCAGCGGTGACTGCTTTTGAAAGTATCACCCAGCTTCAAATAAAAGGATCCTTGAGTTTCAACAGTGGGATGGCAACAGCCAGCGATCACCTTTCATCTGACTCATCTTTTGGTGGGTTGGTGGAAGTGATGAGATTTGATTCTGGTTCGAGCCCAGTATGGTCTCCTCGTGGAATTTGTGGCGTAGATTTCGAACAGGTTAGATGAATTCCTTCTTATCCTTTGAACTTAAGAATGGTCTATTTCATGTGTTCGGTAGAGCAAATTATATATATACCTACAATCTTCGGTCAAAAATCACTGTCAGCATTTGATTCATTGCACTCGAAATCGCTTCCAAGGCTGGTACTCTTGCGAGGTCCTGGAACTTGAAATTCCAATCCATCTCTTGCCAGGTTTGGACTTAGTGAGAGTGTGGGAACTTGTGTTTTTAGATATTTTTTAAAGAAATGTTCTATTTTAAAATATATTTAATTATTATATTTTTTTAGATATTTTTTAAAGAAATGTTCTACTTGAAAATATATTTAATTAATATATTTTTTAGTGTGTTGATATTAAAAATTAAAAAAAAAATTATTTTAATACTTGTTCAAACAAAAAACACTTTTAAAAATATCTACATCACTTTACAAAACACACAGTTTTTTATCACAAGTGTGTGTGTGTGGTGTGTGAGTGTAGGTTAGCCCAGTGTTGCCTCTTGAAAAATGCAGGGGGCAGCGATTTGGGTTTGAGTACCTGCTTCAGGGAAAGAGGATGCTTTTTGAAAGAAAGAAGGGTACTTAAAAATGATATTGGATTGTTCTTAATGCGATACATAGTGTATGAACAGACTGCTTGCCTAAATTCAAAGTAGGCAAAATTCTGGCTTGACCATTTATGGTGTGTATCCTGTAATTATAGCAGAGTACAACATTTCCAGAGGCCACAAATCAAACTATTCCCTCATGGAAACTTCCAAAATTAAAAAAAAAAAAAATGAAGGAAAAGAACAGCAAGGTAATGTAAATGTACAGTATGCTTATCGGTAAAGCTGATCTATGCCTATTTGCAAATTCCCTCTAGTTTCTGGGAGAGTACAAACCAGTTCCTCTGGTTTTATACAAAGCTGTATCAGAATAGACAGCTCTAGACCTCAGTGACTTAGTCCTCCGTCTGTGCCGATGGCCTTTGCGGTGGCGATCGCAGCCCTTCTCTTTAATCTCCACCTGCTTTCCTTCGCATGTATTACCGTTTCTAATCTCATCACATTCATCTGTACTTTCTTTTCCCTTCTTTTCTAGATCACTTAGCATTTTGCCTTCATTTGGAACAATATACACAAAGGGTCCAATGGGAATGTCAGTTAAGGCAAGTAGAGGCTCCAAGGTCTTGACAACAGTTCTCATAGTTGGTCTAGACTTGGGATGGTGACTCAAACACTGGTAAGCCAATGCTGCTGCCTTTCTCGCACCCTCAGTCGAATACTGGCCTTCAAGTCTCGGGTCCATTATTTGGCATAGTTTACGGGGATCCTTCAATTGAGGTCTTGCCCACTTTACTAGGTTCTGCTCTCTGTTCGGACGGTTCTTGTCCACAGATCGTCGACCAGTTAGAAGCTCTAAAAGTACCACTCCGAAGCTGAACACATCGCTCATGGTTGTCAAATGGCCTGAAAAATACTGTTACTATCAATAAATTACGCAGATTGATTGCCCAGCTATTGATACTGAAAACGTCAGCTTGAATTACCAGTCATTATGTATTCCGGAGCGGCATAGCCTTCAGTGCCCATAACAGGCGTTGTAACGTGGGTATCATCTCCTTCTGGACCATCCATTGCCAGGCCAAAATCTGAAAGCTTTGCATTATAATCCTGAAATAAGAACAGATTTTCCATATTAGAACTTAACCCTGTTTGTAACACCAGCATTATGTTTGCAAGGCATTAAATTAATGCTGGAAGAGAAATGATTACCGAGTCTAGTAAGACATTTGAAGCCTTAAAATCACGATATATGACTGGCTTTTCTTCTTCGTGGAGGAAGGCAAGGCCTTTCGCCGTTCCAACAGCAATTTTTAGTCTTGTTAACCAAGGCAAGGCTGCAGAGTATCCTGCATCAATTAAAACATGCCAGGAACACAGATAGGTCAACCAAATAGGATCATTCAAGATTTTCTTTCAGCGGTGTTACAATGAGAGAATACATACTGTTGAATAGTTTGTCCTCTAGGTTGCCTCGCTCTATGTATTCATACACCAGAAGCCGATGCTCTTCCTCGCAGCAGTAACCGATCAGGTTCACAAGATGGCGGTGCTTTAATTGCCCAAGAAAGATGATCTCGGCCTATAAAATTGAAAACATTTATCATGCTCGACAAAACACTTGAAAAATCCAACCTACTCCATGAACTGTATTGAATTGACTCTATTTGCTTACCAGCCACTCTCGATGTCCTTGAGAGCCATCCAAATCCAGCACCTTCACAGCCACAGGCTGAGCCTTTAATCCTGGCCTAAGCTTGTCGTCAATGAATCCTTTGTACACAGCCCCGAATCCACCTTCCCCAAGATAATTGCTCTTTGAGAACTCATTCGTTACTGTCTGTAGCTCTTTCAGTGTGAAGACATGAAGGTTAAAAATAGAAATGGATAGGTCGCTGAATGAAATTGGTGAAACAGGATTGCTCAAGTCTGAAAGGGATAGCCTCTGAGAACATGTTTGTTTTGGCTCCGGGCGTGATCTCTCAGCTCTGAGACATCCTAGGAGTATTGATTTCCAAGTGAACTTTTTGAGAACCATTCTCTAATATCTATTAAAGGCTTACTTAGGCTTCTGGCAAAAGCTTGTGATGTGTGTGTGTGTATAAATATATAAATATGCAGCCTTTATGGGGTTGGTCAATGCTGGCTTAGAGTATTTAATGAGGAAAGTAGTGAAGATAAGGAAGGGATTAATGGTGTTGGTAGAACGTGTACCAGATTATAAGACTTGGAAAGGAAGTCTGTGTTCGAATGATGATAACCAATCACATTATTTTCCTTCTGGGAAAATGCTCGGCACACGGAATCTCCCTATTCTAGAAGAATGATTACCTTATTCAAAAAAACATTTCCCGTACTTCCCAAGTCTCTGTAGCAGATAGAGAGTAGGAAATAGCAGAGTTTTCTATTCATGACTTTGAAAAACAGACGTGCTGCTATTTAAAAATCTTGGTCTACCTTGACACTAAAATTTCTGTGCGATTTCATCTGCTCGTCGTCCGGGAAAAGCAAGTTCATCGTTCATACACGGATGCTAGCGAACATGAATTAATGGCCAGAATCCAATTTGTACTTGTACTACTTAATTCTAATCATGATCAAAAACTATAACATGATAAACACATGTGGCCACCTTTTAAATATCATTTCTATAAGGCTAAGCTATTAGTAATATGGTTAGTGGAGGAGCTTTTTGTCACTGTCAATACTTTAAAAAAAACATCAATCTGAGCTAACTAGTCCCGCCGGCCGGCGGACCCAAATAGTGTGGTGGAATATATAGTAATTATAATTAATAAGAGTAAGAGAAAATTGATAGGTGATTCGCTTCCTATTTCAACTGCTTGAGATGACAGCCTAGATTAGGGCAGCCTTGGAATTGGATAGTGAGAACAGCTGTTACTACTAGAAGGCTAATTCTTACATGGTTTATAATTTTCTAAATTAGCAACTAACTTAGAGATCTTTCTACACGAATCTCTACATCGTTGGCCACTCGATTTCTTAGAAGGAAACCTGCATGATTCCATTCCACCATAGATCAACATCAGTAGCATCAACCCCATAAAATATTGAATTACAAACAGCAGTTACAATATTGTAGAGCATAGGTTAAAATTAAATTAAGCTAATGGGCCCCTTTAAGTTGTCCTTTTCAACTTAGCCTCATTTCCAAACCTCAAACCCTACTTGATCTAATAAAATGTTTAATTATTTACTTATATGATAAAAAGAAATTAATGATAATAAATGTACTAAATCTAAATCTAAATAAGAAAAATAATAACAATGACATGTATAAATAACGCTTGCCAAAGAAATATAAAGTTGAATTTCAAGATAACCTGATGTTAAAGAAAAAAAAATAACAAAAAAAATAAAATTGAATTTATTTAAGTTAGTATGGCAAAATCATAACTCGAGTCATAAGACTAAATCATTCTTATAGAAAACAAATTATAAAAGAATAAATTTTTTTAATTTTTAATAAATTCAATATTGATGACTAAAAAAAAAACAAATTAGTGTGAAACAAATTAAAAAAAAAAAAGAAGTCAATCCTAGATAACATTTCATAAATATAACCCAAATTATAAGACCGTTATCATCATATTAAAAAATAATTACGACACTTAATTCTTAATAATTCAATATTAAATGATGAAATTTAAAAAAAAAAAATTAAAAAAAATCGAAATTTTAAAAAAATAAATTTAAAAAAAATTTAAAGCAGATAAAATCAACGAAAAGAATAAGAATTGGATTTGATGTAAAAATAAAATAAAATAAAATTATATAAAAACCCGAAGCCAATCCAGGTTGCATGATAAATTCACTACTCGAGTCATGATATGAGACTATCCTTATAAAAAGAAGAAAAAAAAGGCTCAAACTTCAATAAACTTGATATTAAATAATAAAATAAAAATTAATGTAAAAAAATATTTTTAAAAAAGACCTATAATAATTAAAGTTACTATTTTATACTCATGATATAAGATATAAAACTGAGATTATTGCATAACAAAAATTATAAAATTTATAAAATTTAATTTTTAATTAATTTAATATCAAAACTTAGGGCTAAAATGAATTATCTTAAAAACAAAATGAGCCACAAATATATATATTGGAAACAAAAATTAAAAATAAAATAAAATACAGACGTTATCATGGTCCCAAAATTAAACAAAGCAAATAAGATGATAGGCTTATAACATTCATCATAATCAGCCTATCTTCTCCCTTTTCCTCTTCTCTGTGTCCTTTCTTTAAGAATATAATAACTAGCAGGTGAAGTTTCTCGAGAAATTGAAGAATTATCAATTGTTCAGCTAACAAAATTCAAATCCTAACCGAGTTATGAAGAATAATTAAAGCCCTGCTGAGCTAGGTCACCACATCATGAATGGCTTGTATGCCACGGAATATACAAATTAAATCGGAAGAAATTTATCTAATCTTGATGCATCATAATTGATAAATCCCCTATATATATATAAAAAAAAAAAATCAAATATTTCAATGATAAATCCCCTATATATATATAAAAAAAAATCAAATATTTCAATTATTTAAAATTAAGATTTATGAGTGAGATTTAAAAGACTTCAGTTTATAAAGATGAGAATCCCTGTATGATCTATTCCAGCTCTTAAAAATTATCAAGGCAATATTTGTTTTTGCAGGTGAAATATTCTTTTGAAGATTTCTGAATTTTCTTTTAGGTTAAAATTAATATTTTTATATTTTTGGATAATTTTGGTGTGGTGATATTAAAAATAAATCTTAAAAAATAATAATAATATTTTAAAATAATTTTAAATAAAAAACATGTCTTAAATATGTTCTAAATAATAATAAAAGAATACACAATACTGCTTATTGCAGGTTAAGATGATAGCTCTTGGACATTGCATTTCATTTATTTTTCTGAAAGTTTAAATTTTGTACCTCTACACATGTTTTCGGCTGTCCTCTGGCACAAAGCTTAACAAGAAAGAAAAGTGGACAGCAAGACAGGGTTTCGGACGCCATTTAACCGCTCGAGTGTCCCCATCTTAATTGCCATGAACTTCAAATGTTACTGCTTGACATGTTCAATGACAGTGAAGGATGTAATTCTTTAAGCTTTTCTCTAATTGAAGTCTGCCATTCGTGATATTTTTACTTCCCTGGTATGGTTCTCACGTCATCTGTGCACTGCTTTTCTTCTTCTGTGTTTTTTCTTTGCATGTTCTTGCTGGATTTATGACATCATCTCTGAGGCTGAGCTAGACGTCATAAAAGAGAAGGTCATCAGTGCTCTGCTTTTCTTCTTCTGTGTTTTTTCTGTGCATGTTCTTGCTGGATTTATGACATCATCTCTGAGGCTGCGTTTTATGTCATAAAAGAGAGGAAATCTCCATTTATATTCTAAGGTCATCTGTGCTCTGCTTTTCTTCTTCTGTGTTTTTTTCTGTGCATGTTCTTGCTGGATTTATGACATCATCTCTGAGGCTGCGTTTTATGTCATAAAAGAGAGGAAATCTCCATTTATATTCTAAGGTCATCTGGGTACTGCTTGTTATATATATATATATAATTTGCAGGGAGAGGTTTTGCTCAAAATAATCCATATTTCTTTGATCTTATTTTTACTCATTCTTCTCCTGCTCACCGAGTCTTCCGACCGTCCAAGTTGTTAAACAAGAAAAAGCAATATTGATGGTGGCTTTTCTTTGACAAAGGAGGCAATCTATGAAAATAAATTATGATGATGATAATAATAATATTAGTAAGTGCATAAAGATTTTATTGTCTGTCTCCTTTGAAAACTTCAGGCTCCTTTCTTGAACGCCGCAAAATCAACGCATTTGTTTGATTATTTTCATGTTAAATGCATTTCGTATGCCTTGGGTCGATGAATCCATTTTAATCATTCTATTATCTAGTAATCTAACTATATTATTCTAGTTTCATTTTCGTGTTATCATGATTATTGTTATAATTGTATGTATTTAAATAAAAATATTTAACCTAAGTTTTTATTTTTTTCCAACTTCAAATCAATATTTATTTTTTTAATTAGTCAAGATTGAGGTATAATTAAAATCTTTATCATGGAACAAATATCAAAAGATAATCATTTAAAAAAATATTGAACTCTGACATTATCATAATCATTTAACCTAACATCTATATGCGTATGTGTGTGTTTCTTTGTTTTTTCGACTGTTATAAAAAAAGTATTCAACATGCATCTAAGCTGCCTTTTATTGGTTTGAAAAAAGTATTTACAGGAACCCATGTCAAGAAATTAATTATGATTCAAAGTATCTTGTTAGGAAACTTTTCTCATTATTTTTTTCTTTTCTTTTCAACTTGGAATCAATATTATTTTAATTATTTTTTTTTATCTTTTTCTGCGTACAAGTCAAGATAAGAGATAAGAAAGGAAGAAAACGTAAAATCATATACTCGACATTAAAAAAAAAATAGATGAGATGTTCACTTTTGATGTATTTAAAAAAGGAGTTTATAGTATCATAAATTTAAATGAGATAAACACATTAAATTGAACATATTTAAACGTGCAGGGAAGACTTGCTGTGCTTAAAGAAGAAAGGTTGGAGATTAACACAATAGAAAACATACATGAATCCTTCCCATTGGTTAAAAAGCATGTGATTAACTGATGAGAAAGGGACCGTCCACTGAACAAGAGGGGGGAATATATTGATTCTCTTCTTGTCAAGGAAAAGGAGCAATGCAGAATCATGAAGAGAATCGCAAGGCATGATGCCAAGAAAGCCCTTCCAATTAGGAGAAAGGGCAAGAATCAAAGCTGCCTGCAATGGCCGTGGCGAGGAGCCAAACAACAAGTGTATATGCTGCTGGAAGCCGACCCGCATCCTCGTAAATTTCTCAAGGGTCAATGACCATATCATGACGCCTACCATACATGAATGGGTTGAAACCTGAGGGGGGACCCGCAGTAAAAAGAAATAAAATAAAATAAAAATAAAAACTAAAAGGGAGTGGCCTTTTCGTGCAACATGTGAAGAGATTCACGGTACCTTCAAGCAGTATAATGATTATTTTTTCTTTTATTACTCTTAACAATTGCTTTGATATTGAGGTTCAAGTCATCTTTTTTAGAGGAATTCAAAAATTATTTGTGGATTGGTTATGAATAATTTTGTTGTTTAACTTTGAAATTAAACAATAAAAATATTTTTTTACCCTTGAAATCGTTTAACTTTGAAATTAAACAATAAAAATACTTTTTTTATCCTTGAAATCTATAAAAAAAAAATATATATCATTAATGGATTTTTTTGTTTTTTTCTTTTTATTTACACAGTAAAACATGAACTTATAAAAAAAAGTTATTTCACTATCATTTCTCGAGTTTTTTTTTTAAATAGTATTTTTTTGTTTATTAACTTTTTTTCTATTAAGTTATTTTGAGTTGATTTTTTTATTATTTTTTTAATATTTTTAGATCTCAAGTCAATTATTAAAATCTTAGATTTAAAAAAAAATACACATTATCATATTTTTTATATAATAAAAAAAGTCATCATATTTTTTCTACAATAAAAAAAAAAGGTTTACAGCATAACGCGGGTTTCCTATCAGTAGAATCATAAATGGCATGACTTGAGATAAAAGGAAGGGTTAAAAAAAAAAAACAAACAAGGACATTGCCACCTTTACTCAACAGTAATTCTTGTAAAAGTTGCGGGAACCTTCTTCATTCTGAAATAACACATCAATACGCACCAGCCGTGAGAGAGCAAGCAAGACAAACTACTATGAAATGACAGGTCGCAGGTTACTACTAACAACGTTTTTGTGAAGAGTTTTATTTAATGATCACGAGGTCGCTAACTACCCCCACCAAGGGTGTATATGACACGTTCCCATCAGCAAAACAAAAGCCTGGAATGATGAGATTATGGAAGTCTCATTCTTTCAAGCAGTGAAAAAATCACCTGGCACCATTTTAGGATGAAAGGCAAAAAAAATCCCTGCCGACATGGATTCTACAAAAGCATGCTAAGCATATCCTTGTCGTCAGTCAAAAGGCAAAATTATCAACAACAGTGATCATGCTGCTAGATTTCATTGAAAAAATTAAAACTTGTTCCAACCACCCTCATCACGCAGAGGACCAAAACCATATACCTTTCAACAATACACCAACTTGTGACTGACAAATCAAGTCTAATGGAGTTTCAAATGGGGCAGGATTCTGCGGTTAGAAATTCGATTGCTAATACTAGCGATTCTCGATAAGGACAAAATGGAAAACAATCAGTAAAAGAGGTGCGCCCTTGATAGTGAGGAACAGAAAAAACTGCTTCGAGAAAATCCAAGACAGCCAGTAATTTATAAGCAAACGTTTTATTTTCTGATTCCCAAAATTCTAAACAAACGAAAATTCTGCTACTCTTCTCCCCAATGCGGAAAGAGCATCACAGGCACTCGATTGGAATAAATGAGAACGAAATAAATAACAAAACACGGCATAATCCCAAACAAAATTTCTTTTCATTTCCCCCCACTGCTAAATATGGCCCTTCAAAAACTCTAGCCATTTCTTTTAAATACCTAGACAGCTAACTTTTGACTACATACATCCACCCAAAAAAAATAAGCTGCTCTTCCAAACCAGCTTATTCAAGATAAAGAAACTGTTGCCGGAAATATACAACTGCAACGAAGTGAGATCAAATCAGTTACTCCACAAAAATCAATTCCAAAAAGCAATAATCAATCTACACCAGACCACCATAAAAAGGAGTTCAGTTCATAAAATACCTCGTTGTCCATGCAATAAACTCTACGTTCTATTTACATGAAGAACCTGCACATTAAATTGTGTAAGAGCAACACAGACCAAAGAATATGCTCCAAGCAAGATAACCAGCACATAGCCAAGTCTTAACACACCTTGAAACGGAATTGGATTGTTGCAAAAAATATATATCACAGAACAATTGGGCAAAACGACTTTTGGTTTCCATAAAAATCGTACTAATTCTTGCTATCTGAAAACAAGGTTTCCATTCTGTTGCTGTCGCAGTCGTATATTCTCAATGACTGACTGGTAGAATGATCTCAATGCCTTCATATCATTACCCTGCACATACAAACATCAAAAGCACAAAGCAGAATTGGAGAAATTAAACCATATTTGATTATTTCTACACCCATTTAAACATGTCAGTTTCTGGTGATACATGTAGCTGCATTCATCATGGAAGCCTAATTCATTGAAATATAAAGAAAAGATATTTAAAACCCCAAATGCTTCTTTCAAACAACCTATAGAAACCTAAAACTTTCAGTACATAACAGAAAAATTTTCCTGACAAATGAAACATGAAATTTCAATAACAAAATCTATTTAAGAGCTTAAATAACCAAAACCTCAATCCTTTCTCAATCATACTTGTTTGATACTAGGTTTGGATTAAAAGGTTTTGAGAATTAGGGAAAGGAAAGGGGGAGATCAAACCCTTCGAGCTTTGCCTAGAAGGGGCTTTATTTTAAAGGAGAAAGAGAGGATAGGAGGGTTTTGCCACAGCCCCCAATCCATTCAAATGCTTAAACCCAACAGCCAAAGTTCAAGTGTTAAAGGGAATTGAGTTTATAATCTTCGACTCGTGTTTCTATCATTACACTTCAATCCAATCCAATCTCCACAGATGAAAGAGACAAATATATAATTATAAAACCCCTTCCATTTTCAACCAAACAAGCAAAGTTAGATGATGTTTCAAACTTCAATACATCCAATGAATTTGAAAATAAATACCTTACCATCAGTTATCATTCCCTTCTCTCCCTGTAAAACTATAACCTTTCTATTCCCATTCCTCTATGGAAATATACAGTAAATTGCACTTGATGAAATCATTAATTCCAATATCATGGGCTTAAAGTGGCTCTATCTCTGTCCATGATGCATTGAAACCCAAACATCTGCCCTAATTCATAACAGAATTGAAGAAATTCAGGGTGGGAATTCTGCGCAGGGATTTAGCACCAGAGAAGGGCTCACCTGTGGGTGCCTCATGATGTCACATATTTATATCAAGTTGGAAGATTTCATATGACTAAAATTATCATGTCGCTAGAAAGTTTGGAGAACAATCCCCAGTTGGACCAAAGTTTGGCCAGATCTATAAGGTATAAGCCAAAAATGGATATAATCTTTCCCTAGACAACTGCTAGAATGAAATATGATTTGAAAAACACAGGAAAACAAAAACTCAAGCAACCATAATAGCTGGACAGATCCCATAATTTATATTTGGTTGGACAAAATGCACTTACACACACATCCAACAACTTAGTAAGATATGTAGCACTATTTTGTTACCTGCAACTTCTGGCAATATTGTGCAGCTAAATCTTGAGGGCAATGTGCAGTAGTAAAGCAGTTTGTTACAAAATGAATAAGAAAACCATCACCAAACTTCTCGTACATAACCTTCTGAGCAAGTACAATTTCTCCAAACAGAATGAGCTGTCAGACAGAATCAGAACAGCAACTTCAAAAACATGTATCAACAAATAGGCCATTATCAAAATCTATTGTACAGTTCTTACAGTGTTTGCATCATGAAACTCAAAGGATTTGTCAAGTGCGCTGTAAAAACAACAGTTCTTAGCAAAGCCATCGATTATAAAGCTTCGGAAACCAGGTACCTGAATATTCAGTTCCATTAGAGCAAAGAAAAAGAAATCATCATCATAAAAGCCACTAAGAACAGGATCTTTGAGGGAGGATGACAAACCTTTGCTTCAACATCAGGTCTTGTACACCAGTCTTTAATTAATCTAATGAATATCTGCACACATGCCTGAATTACAGAGGAATAAAATGATACCTTGAGTTCATGCCAGTGCAATTATATCAACAATCCAAACCTTCAACGGACAAAATGATGTATCAGACACACCTTCCTCACAAGAATATCCTCGTGATGGCAAGCTGACTGAAGTAGCAACTGCATCATCTTATCCAAGTAGTCTCTACTCCTAGGTGAAAGGAAGACTGAAGATAGATCATGTGTAGCTATCACATGAAGAAACGTGTACAATGTTTTTTGGAGTTCTTGTAATTCACGAATTTCCTGCAAAATAAGTCAACAGGTCCTTATTCAAGATAGTTCAGAGCATCACCTTCAGATAAAGAATTGAATTAATTTTTCCTAGGATACTTTAAATGAAAAACAACTTTCAATTTATTTGAAATAGTATGTCAATCAAGATTTGCAAAGTGCATCGAGCATTCTTTCACTGAGATGAAAAAAATTGAATTGCCAACTATTATGATGCCTTCACCATCGAGCATGCTTTCAGCATGATGAAATAGTACATGAAACAATGTGATGTAAACAAAAGTAGAAGTAATATTGGATAGCAGCATAATTTCACACAAATTTATACTCTTGCAACAGAAAGGAAAGATACCATCCAAGCACACATAAGATAACATTTAAACTCTTAAGAACCAAAACTTGAACAATGTCTGGAAAATTAACATAATGAAGCTAAAAATACATTCATCATTTGCTTTAAAGATAGACCCTTGAAAGGAGAATGTTAACTACACCCAAGGGATTGATAAATATCTATAGATAGAATTTCCATACCTCAGAATTGGTTCCATGTCCTAAAGGAAATGGTTCAGTTGGGATAAGACTAAATATTCTACCAGCAATAGCAGGAAAAACTTCCTCCACTATGTCATGCACTGAGGTGCTGAATTTGCATATAAGCTGATTGAGTAGAACAAGAAAACCAGCCATTTCCTTTGGCTACAATAAAACAAAATCTAGAATCAGGCATTCATGTCACAAGAGAAAATGCGAAACCAATTTAATGCAATAAACATTTTCATGCATGGTTCCAAAAGATGTCCATGTAGAGTTCCTTGAAGCTAAACCCCATCAAATCTGGGAAAAAACCATCACTTTTGTCTAATGTCATCATAAAGAAGTTGAATCTAAGTAACTTCCGAAGGCAAGCACTAAAGAAGCCAAACGGTGGTTTTTTACAATTCATGTACACAAAAAACTGTGACTAGAAACCAGAACAACAAGTGCCTAAGAAAAAGGCACTTGCAGCAGGAAATAAGGGGTCTGCTTACAGGTCTTTAGAACTGTTAAACCATTATGAAAGCACCTTCTTTTTTTATTTAGATTATAAGAGGAGATTTTTTTCATAGCATACAGCAATGAGCCATTATTAAAACTGGTGAAAAAATAGTGAAAATGCAATATTATCCGTCCACACGTTTCACATTTTCTCTCTCACCACAAAGTTTCTCTTTCAATATTGAAAATAATATTCTTATATCTCTTATGTTCTTTTCTTTTTGAGAAATTATTTCTCTTTATGGTGTTAAAGAAAAAATCTAGTTGTTTATGCTTAAACTTTCCTTTTCACCTTTCTCTGTAAAACTTGCCTGAAATAAAAACTACTTTTTCCCCACAAGTTCTATTACTCGTTTCTTTTTATTTTCTTTCAACCACCATCTAATGTGTTATTTTCAATTGCTTACTTATATGAGGTTCCACTTCCAAATGTTGCTCTAAATCAAAGAAGAAATTCATTATTCTTTTATATATTTATTCTCTCATCTTTTTCTTTTTCTTTTTGTTGTTTTAAGAATGTCCTAGTACATATGATAAGAAAAAAAAAGCGCCAAAACCTAATATGAAAAAATGCATGTTCTGTTTAAAAGTGATAAAATGCACAATGACCACAAAAATTGTTCAGGCTCTGCCATTGCACAAGGAGAAAGCTGACATTTCATTCCAGCACAAGATTATAATTGCTCAAACATATTAGCATCCTTGGGGATGGCAAGAAAGGTTTAATTGTGTAACTTTTATCCGAACACACCATCAAATAATACGCAGCCATGGCTAAACCTTTAAGGAATTGCTGAAAGGACAAAGCAAGCTAGAACCCTTGTAACAAAAATAACTGCTGTCTCACATCCAGGGGAGCCCGACAAACTAAACTTTAACCATTTAATGCTTTCAATCAAAGTTACATGATGGGATCATTTCCTTTCGTCACTCTACCGTACTCATGCAGGCTGAAAGTAGGCAGTAAATTAACATCCTAACTACTGCTACAAAACATAAATTTCCCCAAAATGCAGCAGCTTGTGTTGTGGGAAATGAACAAATTACTTTTATGTGGTTTTGTTTGATTCCATAACTCAGGAATATATTGTAATTTCAGGTTTGCAGGGGTATTTCGATAATTTTAGATTTCCCGGAAAATTCATAGGTCAAGATTTTTATTTTAGTTATCTTTAAAAATATTTATAGCTTCTTGTTTAGGTTCTCTTTTCCTAGTGTTCACTTATTTAGGAACCTAAGTCTTTATTGCACTAGGAAATTATTAGGTACTCCTGATACAGTGCTTTCTCCTCATATAAAAGTAGGATGCACCATGATAACCATGGATCTCACTTTTGCATGAGTGAGAGAGCATCGCACTGGGAATATCTATTAATCTCTCGCTGTGGGACACTAGCCTCCCTCTCTCTGTATAGCTATGTAGTATTTCAATAAGTACAATTGCAATATTTTTAGCAATGACACCATTAGTTTTTCACTCATTCCAACTCAATTTCCAAACCCCAATCCTCTTTAATCTAGACATTTCATTCCCAGAATGTCCAAGCCTGAACCCAACATAAAACACTTGTACAATAAAAAATTCAAACCAGTCCTGCACCAACTTGTACCTGATATTATCAAAATCATTATTGTCCTAGTTCAGTAAAGCAAGGCCAAATTCCTTCTTAATGGGTCAAATATCTTGACATATAGCAATTCCAGTCGTCAATTGGTAAAACTTAAAGTGACAAGAATAAGAAATATATGGAGATTTTCTATTCTTGAATAATATTGCACACGGTCCTAGGGAATGACCATAACAGATCTGCATGTAAAAAACCCCAATGAAACACATCCCCCTCCTAAACTTGATGTGGGCTCACAATCAGGTATTGCTCCTGCCCCAGGACATCATCCATAGAACAAATAAGCCAGGCAAATAATCAAATCCCGTTCCATCCAAAGAGCATTCAGGATTACATAAAAATAGAAATAATGTAATCAACAAAACAGGGGGGGAAAAAAAACCATCAATATTAGCTGTATGAGTGAAGATTGTAGACTGGTAAAATGGGAATTGTTTTTTATACCTCACTTTCTGCAAGCAATTGTCCCAATGCCTTGGGAAGGAATGGAAATACAGATGCACCTAAAGTATCTACCATACGATGAATGAAGGACGTAACCTGAATACAATGAATGCTAGCTTTAGGCAATATGCAAAGCCAACAAAATATCAAATTAAAGTACTTCCATGGCCCCATGTCCCATTCTTACCTTGTTCCGTAAAGGCTGTATCTTTGGAAAAACAACAAGTATTTGGAGGAGAACATCCAATGTCTGGATCACAAAGAGAAAATAAAACCTCATCACAAAGAAAAGAGGAGCAATGATAGAATTTCTGTTCTAACTTTTTCTACAGTGGTGTCTAGCAGATCCTAGCATCTAGCAATATGCAATGTAACATTTCATTCTCAATTTATCACCATAAATATTGCAATAATTAAAAATGTAGAAGACCTAAATTAGGAATTCAAAGAACAAAGGAATGAAACAGATGATGGAGTGTAGCGCAGCAAAACTGTCATCCCACCAGTATAGAAGGTAAATGAATAAATATGCAAACAGTCCACCACACTGAGGCATGGAGGAAAAAAATATCAGCACAGCCATAAGCAAGATATCATGCCTGACTTAAAAGTACTTAATCATAAAAATGATGAAGACAATCATGTTAAATCGTATAGACAGGTTCATGAACGCACTGGATTTTGCAAAAGGTGACCAACCCAGAGATAGCATGTGGCTCAAGAAACAAAAACTAAAGATCTGAAATACCCACCTTCTTAAACATGGCACCTATTGCAGGGCGACTCGTGGTTACCAGACGCTCACTAAAACCCTGTGTCAGAAAAGGAAATTTTCTTGAGACATTACATCTCTTTAAAATTAAGATTCCAACAAAGAATCACAAAATTCTGTCAAGAGAAACATGCTAAGTTTGTATCCTAGCACAATGAAAAAAAATATAATCACCAAAATGAGGAAGCCTAATGTGCAAAAAATTCATGTGATTAAGTGTTGTCAATTAATTACAAGTGATTAAAGAATATCCACCCCATCGCCAACAACAAAGTAACATGAAATAAAAACATTTTCTCAATGAAGGGAAAACTGAGCATGAAATAGAATTTAGAAAGCCAAAGGGAAAAAGAACCTTGCTGAGTGCATTAATTGCCATGATTACTTGCTGAATATTAGCAATTTTCACTGGAGACTCTTCCGGACTCAGTGCATTGGCATTTATGAGTAATGTTTCCACCTGGATCAAACAAGAATACTTCAGAAGCATGTATAAGAAAATCAGTAAAAATGCCATTAGGCACAGGATGCATGTTCAAAGAAGCTCTTCAGAAGAGATTCTAACAACAGTTTTAGATAAGTATAAGTAAACGCACTTCAAAAAATGAGCAGTGGAAAGGAAAGGTAAATAAATGTTTTAGCAAACTTCAAATTTAACCATAACCTGGTGGCAAAGAGGAGTGAGCAGTGAAGATAGATAATCAGATTGCTTTTCAGATGGTACTTCTTCCATCCCAATTAAGAGACCAATTGCCTGTAAATTGTATCCACATATATCAGAAGAAACCAAGGAACCATCACGCTATGGAAATTTCATACAAACTAAAAAAATCTATTTACCTGTATGTCAAGATGCAATGCATGTCTGAACGTGTATGTGTATTCAAAACTAAAAGTTGAGAGAATTTAAGAAGAGAACACAGTATGGTTGAAGTACCTCAAAGATGTGGCTACCATCTTCAGATCCTGAAAAATCATTTGATGTATGATTCAGAGATGTAAACCGAGTTACTGTATCTTGGAGGCTCTGTCGATTCAAAGAATATCAAGATATCAAAATTGAATAATATCTATAAGAACAAGTTTTATAGACAATTTATTGCCATAAAACAAGAAGATGGTTTGCTTACTACCTGCAAAATTGACTCTATGAAAGGAACGAGCTTTGCTTTTAGCAATTTCACAACCCTCATGAACAGATAACTAGCTCTACGCCTCACATGGAAGTTTGGGTGGTGAATTCCTCTCTCATCCAGAAATGCAGTCAAAACCATGGGGACACACTCGGTATGCTCCTGGACAAACTTGATATATCTAGTTATAGTCTCTAAATACACAAGTGCAACTAACCTATTAAAATGGCACTGAAACCTAGTCGAAATGAGGGTTGGCACCAATTCGCTCAACAGTCCGCTTCCAGTTTTTATGGCTTCATCACTTAATGACTCTCCAAGTGCATACAAAAGAGAAAGAGAAGCTTCTACCTCTTCAACATTTCTTTCTGACACAGATGAGATACAACTGACTAAAGAGTTTCTGATAAACATTTGAGTAACATCCGGTGCCACACGAGCCACACTACGTAACAACACAAATAGGTCCTTTCTAAATTCCACCATCTTTTCTTCTTCCTCTCTCCCAATCTTATCCAGCATATCAAGATTATCACGGTAGATAGGATCATAACGAATTTGTGCACAAATAACTTCCAACATCTTCCCCACATGATGCAGTTGTTTCTCTCTCAATGGAGAAAGGCTCTTCATAGTGGCAACATAACAAGAGAGAAACTGCACAATACTAAATGTGGTGTCCACCTCACAGTTCTGCATTACATAAAAAACAGATGGTAAAACTTCATTCAAAAGCTCCAGAGAAACACCCTTAGCATCCTCCGTGTTCACCCGTTTATAACACTCCAGAGCCTCAACGGCATACCCTGTAATCAATGCAGCTACTTTTGACACCAACTCTGAGTCAATATCTCCAGTTACCAACCCAAAAACCCTATTTATCTGAAGATTCTGCAATATTGCTAACTTTGATTGATGATCCATCCGCTTGGAAACCACTGCCAAAATGCACCCTGCAGCAGCACCCTGAAGCTGCTCAGATCCCCCGCTAACTAAAATCAGCTGAAACAATAATGGAATGAATGCATCATTCACAATCAACCCAATATCAATCCATGAAATATACCTCCTCATTGATTCTAACACGCTAGAGCAAAGGTCCAGATCAGAATTCCGATACATAGAAACAATTTCATACCAAACATTCACTATCTGCGCTATGCATTGCTGCCTTATAGCATCCTTAACCCGCCCCGCAACCCCCATCTCCTCAGGTGTCCGTGGGTAATCTAAACTGATCAATTCATCATCCAAAGCATTCAAAATCCTACAGAACATATCAATAACCACCGCCCCTTTCCTCAAATGAGGCAAAAAATCAACAAACACCGAAGACCAAATTAAAGGGTAATCAAAATAAACCAAAGTGACAAAAACCAGCGCAAGCTTGTTCTTTATAAATGCAGGGGCACCCTCTAAAATCCTAACAGCATTGTTATTCTTATCATCAATAACCTCAAAACAACACATAGAAAACACTGATTTCCTAATGAAATCCTTCTCTTGTAAGCTCAACATAGCATATTTAACCCTAATAACCTCATGTAAAGTCTGCAAACACCAAAATTGAACCTGAACAAGGTTGCAAAAACATAACTTCTCAATGCAAATGCGGCATGCAGTTGGGGTTTCCTTAATTTGCTGACAGAAAGAGAGTGCTTGTGATTTTAGAGCTGAATCTATAGCGCCCGATTCTTCAAAACTTATAAGTATCGCTTTTTCAACATCATCCATGATTAAAAACGGCTCAAGAATCAAAACCCAGCAGAATTTGATTGCCTTTTTAGGATTCTGGCAGTTCTAAAGAGAGCCCAATACCGAAGTCTGAGCCTTTTTCTTTAAAGGGTTATCAGAAGTAGCTTACCTGATGGTGATTTAAGAGATCTTTTATGATTACGTGTGCCAGTGGTGCGGGTTTGAGCTAGGGTTTTTGAGGGGGTGAGGTGGAGAAAACCCTAGGGCCGTGTTTGGATTGATATTGATATATAGTTTAGTAAGCCTCTGAGAAAGAGAAGTTAAGGTAAATGGAAGCAAAACTAAAAATATAGGGTATAAATAGGTGTTAAGAGCAAGAAGAAGAGTGGGACTTTGTGATGTTTCAAATTACTACAATGTCCTTCTGGCTTGCGTAGGCAAAAACCAAAAAATCTTTCGACGCTGGTGTTAGGGTTGGGATTAATTAATAGTTTAGTTAAGAACTAAAACTAAAGTCAGAAACTTAGTAAATTAGTCAGTGAGTCAGCTAAGTGAAACCCAACACATTGGGCTCGTAATCCTTAAAGCCTATAAAAGCCCTCTAAGGTCCGATGTAGAGGGGTTTTAGCTTTTAGATGGATCAACTGGGTCCGAAACTGAAAAGAACATGAAGATTAAATCTACTTATAAAAATTTTGTGTCTAATGTTACCGTATAAAATGTTATAATTAGGGAATATCTGAATAATTTTTTAAAATTTTTCATTTCTTATTTCTTGATTTTATAGTGAAAAGAGTTGGGATGAGTTTGTGGTATAATTAAATTTATGTTATTTAAATTTAAAAATTTACGCGAACTCGAACCTGAATTAATTAGGTTGATATCCACTCAATTTTTTAAATCAAAATCAACCTTCCAATTAGATTAGATCTGATTTAATATCAACTATCATTTAAGTTCCTTAATTTACTTTTAAAAGTTTTAAAAAAATTTAAAAATTGAATTGGTTTAAAAACATGCAAAGATAGTCTTCCACGTGATTATTTTTTTTATGGTTTTCGAAAATGGACCATTTTATCGTGCCCAAACTTTAGGGGCTTTTGTTTAGTGGGCTAAGGTCCAAAATGTAATTTACATGGGGTTCAGAACATGAGTTTAGGCTCATTCGAAGCATTGAGAACCAAACATCACCTTGATAATGATCCCTCTCGGAATTTTTTTATTTCCAGAATTCCTGGTGTTGTTGCATCATTTTTCCTAGGAATTGATTTGGAGTGCAGTTAGGTTTCTTAAAAAAATGTTTTTTTGCTAAAAATTATAATAAAATAATATTTTTAAAAAAATTTAAAATTTATTTTTTATATTAATATATTAAAAATATAATAAAATAAATAAATTGAATTTCATTTTCTGAGAATTTGTGTTTTCACTGATTTGGTTGTTATTCTTTCTCTGGGGACTTTTTTCCACATAAATCATGATTTTGAGGTGTAAACTGTAAAGTCCAGTAATAATACAAAAAACAAAGAAAACATTATTTAGAAGAATATTGTTTAATTTGTGAAAATTAAAAAAGAAGAAGAAGAAAGTGAAATTTTGATTAAATCTTATTTTTACCATCCCATGATTTTTATTTTTCTTGTAGACATTTAAATAATTGGTTTATTGGTAAAATATGATTTTTTTTTCATCAACAATATTGTATTTTTAAAAAAAAAATAGGCTAAACTATGAAAACACCACTTAAATGTTATAAAATTAGGCAGACTATCCAAAATATTTTTAATATCATTAAAAAACTTTATGATTAATGTAGTTTTTTAATGTAACTGGAATATTAGTGATCATATTTATTCATGCATTGCTACAACATATTTGTTACCTTAGTGACATTAGATCAAAGATACAGATGATTTTAATATTCAAACAAATTGGTGTGATTGGTCGTGTTATGATAACTTTTGCGCTTCAAAACGATAAATTTATGTTGGAATAATTACATAAAATAGTTTTATTATTTTTAATAATAGTAATAGTAATATTTACTGCAATAATGTATGATTATTTTTTTTTGGGTTTAAAGGTTGTCTAAATGATTTAATAAAACAGTTTGTAACATGTTTTCATGAAAATATTAAACACCATCGATGTGGTTTTAATTAAAAATTATGAAGTAAGACTTTTATCATCAATAATCTCTAAAACAGTTAGAAAATAAATATAAATGGCTAATAGTTTAATTACTGGCCGTTGGGCCTTTTGTTTTGCTGGAGGGCTTAAAAAAATATAAATATCGTTATTTTAGCTTATATATGATAAAATATTTAAAATGATGATTAAAAACTCTATTAGTATATCTAATAAAATTAATCTATTATCATATATATATATATATATATATCTATATATATATTTATAAATAAATAAATAATTGGTGTAGCTTTTTTAACATGACCGAGCAGACCAAGAGCAAAAAAAATTAACCCAGCCGAGTAGACCAAGTGCAAAATAATCAACATTTTTAAACGGTGATCTTGGTAAAAAATTAATTCACATAATTATTGTCTTAACCTTACTTAACCCTTACTAAAAAGTAAAATAACGAAATGCCAAGTAATTTAATTGAGAAAAATAAATTTATAAGATAAAATAAAAAAATATTATATTAATCCCCATTAATAAAATTTTTTTATAATCTAGATAAAAAACTCGATCATAATAAATTAACTTGGATGAATAATTTTTTTTTCTTTTCCTTCTGTTATTTTTTTTAGTTGGGTTTTGATTGGGTTTTAATTAATAGATTAATTTTAGAAATAAATTTATAAAAGAATTAAAAATAAAATTTAAAAAGATCCTCATCAATTTGAATTAACAAATTAAATTTATAATCAAGATTTCAATTAGACATTTTAAGCAAAATGAGAAAAAAAAATGAAACTGTACTTTTTTATTTTAAGTTAAATTTTAAAAATTAATAACAATAAAGGATGAAATTGTTTTTCTCAAAAAAAAAATACATTAAACAACAAAAAAAAGTTTGAATATTATTTTTTAACTCGTCAAAACTTTTATTCACACCGAGGACCAAATAGATTTTTTTTATTTTCTTATGGAAATTCAATGCCAAGTTTTCTTACACACACTAGATTAGAGTTTTTGATAAAGAAGACAAACACTGTCAAGTGAAGAGGTGTCCAGAAATACTCCCAGTTTGACCATTCACTTTTGACCGTTAAACCTCCACGTCACTATCACATGAAAGTCCAGTATACAAATCAGAAAACATTCAATCCACTGATTTCGTATGGCGTTGGACATAACGTAAGATCTCGTGATATCAACGGACCAGATTCATGCTGTTCTCGTCAATCAGTTCTCAAACGGCGGAGCTATCTCCGGCATGCAATTAACGCGTGCTCCGAGCGTGAGGATTGTGGCCGTGCTGAAACAAAACCCGCACCAATCGGCGTCAGTTAGGACACTTGTGCGCGCGAAGACTTGACCACGTGGCTAAGGTGGCGGGCGGCAACACGCCACGTGCTGGTCACAACCTTTCACGGAAAGAGAACTTCTCATAAAAAGACAGTGGAAGAATCAAGGGATCGCGAGTGGTGGTCCCTCTAGTGGGACTCTCTCAAATTCCAGAGAGACCGTCAGCAAAATCCATGGCAATTCTTATTTAGCCCCCCCCAATAAATACATATACACGTGAAAGAATTCAAAGAAAAGTTTAATGTGTGAATTTAACAAAAAAAAATTCTTTTTTCAGTGATGTTAAAATTTTATGATATACCAGGCTTGCTCTAAATTGCATATATGATATTTTTAATTATTAAAAAATATAAAGATGATAAGAAACTAAAATTTGATGTATTATGAATGAAATATTTTTTAAATACTAAGATAGTAATATATGAAATGATATATTTGTTTTCTTAATATTAAAACATTAATATATTAAATTGATATGAGTCATAAAATCTTGATAATTATAAGAAATAAAAATTAAAATAAATTAAAAATTTTAATTTTAATTAACTAAATATTAAAAAATGAAAAAATCTATTCAATTTATAGAAAAAAAATTAAATAAACCTAAATAAACAAGTAAAACTCATGATCCAAATCAGGTGAATAAGATCACCAAAAACAACATATAAAAAAATACAAAGGTTAATTTTTAATCAACTTCTTATTGAATTATAAAATTAAAAAAAATTAGAAAGAAATAAAAAAAATTAAATCAACTTGATTGTATCATTAAATTATAACATGAATTATGAATTATGAGATTGAGATAATTTTATAAAAAATAAACTAGAAAAAAAAATCTCATCATAATATAAAAAAAATTAATTCTTTAATTTTATTTAAATGAATTTAAAAATAAAAAATAAAGGAAAATCCTTTGAAGAGGCGCCAAGAATCTAGTCCTAATGAACTAGTTCCTGGACGCGGAGCCCCACGTGCTTGCCCATTTTTACTTTTATTTTTTTGCTTGGATGCCCTACCAATTATTTCTACAAATGACACGTCATGTGTGCCCCTTGTATCCGATGATCTCAGAGTTGCTAAAAAATTAAAACAAGAGTATTTTATGCTAAAAAATCAAAATTTTCTATTTTTATTTATTTATCCGAAACACATGGAAAATATCCTATATAATTTAATAAACTTGTTTATGTAAATGACAAAATAAAATGTTTAAAAATTTAAAATCAACTCGAATTCTTAAAAAAAAATTGAGATTAAATCTACTTTTTCAAATGATAGAAAAAACAAAAAAAACCCTATAAAACTCCCAACATGAAATAGGATCCATTGATATTATTCTATTTCATGCTTGAGATTAGTAATAATTAAGATTTTTTCTTTTTAATATTAAAATTTAACAACTCTTTATCTTATCTTTTAAATCATACTGATAAATAAAAAAAATAAAATTTAATTTTTAAAAACTAAAGAAACCAAAAATTTATTATTTCAAAGTTACTAGTACCAAAAAAACTCTCCGTGAAGATTTTGAACAAATTATTTATTTTTTTTATTTTTTTACTTTAATTTTTAATTTTTTAATTATTTTCTCTTTCACATATTCACGTAACATGTCCATCAACTTGGTCTTGTAAAGGTTAAAAAAAAAAAATGTTTTGGGATAAAAAACAAAGCACTATAAAAATTCACAATGCTTTGCATCTGGTGTTTCAGCAATGCAGGGCTCCAGTGAAAATACAGTGTCTTTTGATGTCTTTTATAAAGAAACATGCTGTAAACAGGCTTTGAATGGCTGAACCGTCTTATTTTCTAAATAAGTTTTCAATTGTTATTTTTTTCTATG